CTGAGCATGTAGAGAATCTCGCCCAGGGGATTGATCCTGACAAGAACGTTGGGTACGGTGACGAACTGGAACTCAGCGTGTTTGGCGTTAGGGAAATACACCTCAGGCTTCCAGATGGCCTTCACTAGGTTGGGGTCATTGAGGTCCAGAGGCTGTTCTATGTCGATGTGGTTGAGGCGCTCGTCGACCCACGCCTGACGGAGGTATAAGTCGACCTGGTAATCCTGCAAGACAAGACATATATTCATGAGGTCAGGTCAAGTCAAGGTCAATTCAGAGTTTGTATGGATGAGTGAACTTTTAAATGGAAATTCTTAAGGTCAGGTCAATCCAAAGGTCAATTTAAAGTTTTAATAGATAAATAAACTTTGACCTTAGTGATATTTTGGTTTTTATGAATGTCTTGAGGAATAGGGATAGACGATAGTTATAAGCCAGGTAATTATAACAAAGGTAAAAACAAATTTTAAAAAGAAAAAAGAAGGAAATGTAGAAGAAAAAAGAAAAATGAAAAAAAACCTAGAAAAGGGAAGAAAAAAGAAGGAAAAAAGAAAATAAAAATAAAATAAAAATAAAACGAAAATTAAAAAGAATAAAAACATGAAGGACAAAATAAGACAAGAGTATTAAAGGGGGAAAATAGGTATAAACTACAGGAAAAGTTTTAAAATTGTGTTGTGTTAGCAGAAATAAACGACACAAAGGGAGTCTCTGATGCACTGAAATAACCAACGAGTCTCTCTCAGGTAACTACACACAGGTGAGTCAGTGAGGTGTGTCCAATTAATAGTAAGACGTGAAGGTAAAGGCCATTGGTTATTCATAGTTCAGATTACGACAGGAATAGCCAATCAAAATCGTTCGCTTCTCGTATGTATATATGTATATATGTATGCATGTATTAGATAATTAGATACATATACACAAACATTTTATAATCATGAACCTGAGGAACACTCGAAAGGCAGACAGACAGACAATTACATTCACGTATCAAAATAAATGTAACATAAATTTCCACAATACTCACAATTTTTATCGTGTGTGTGTGTGTGTGTGTGTGTGTGTGTGTGTACGAGTCCAAATAAATAATTACCCTAACGCTTTTTTTTCAACACTTTTTAATCTACCTGTAGCGTTTATTCAATTAGTTTAGTATTTTTCATTATGGTTCAACTTTTTTTTTAGTTTTTTATTTACAGTTAATGGAAAACTATGAGGCACATGGCGTGTTTTTATTGACAAGGTTTCAGTAATGATTGTGTGACTGTATGTTGAAACAGCTAGGGTGATTTATTGTAAACTGTTCAACTGTGTTCCATTCTGGAGGAGAGGAGAGGAGAGGAGAAGAGAAGAGGGGAGAGGAGAGGAGAGGAGAGGAGAGAGGAGAGGAGGGGAGGAGGGAGAAGGGGGAGAGGAGAGAGAGGAGAGGAGAGAGAGAGAGAGGAGAAGAGGGAGAGAGAGGAGAGGAGAAGGAGAGGAGGAGAGGAGAAGGAGGAGAGGAGAGGAGAAGAGGGAGGAGAGGAGAAGAGGAGAAACAATAGCAGGTAGTGTATATATTTCAAAAATCATCGTATTTAAAGTCAGCGTACTCAAGGGTTAAGTCATCGTACTCAAGGGTTAAGTCATCGTACACAAGGGTTAAGTCATCGTACTCAAATAGTAAAGTCATCGTACTCAAATAGTAAGGTCATCGTACTCAAGGGTTAATTCATCGTACTCAAATAGTAAAGTCATCGTACACAAGGGTTAATTCATCGTACTCAAATAGTCAGGTCATCGTACTCAAATAGTAAGGTCATCGTACTCAAGGGTTTCAGATATCTTATTCATATCATTTCTATTAGCTTTCAATCCCTTTTATAATTGATCTTAAATCCTCTTCCAGTCCAGCGAATCATTGATGTTCACAAGGTATTAGCTAATCTCCACGCCTGACGCGGGGATTGGTATCTTATCTAATCGAATCTACCTTAGTTTGATCAAACTTATAACTAACATATTGTAACCTATTTTAACTTAGACCTAACTTAAAATTTAATCTCTTCAAACATAGGCAAATTTAACCTAAGATTAGTTTAACCCCAAATTATCCTAACTTAATAAAATTTGAGTTTTGAGGATTCTGTTATCTGTTATCCATGGGTAAAAAAGCCTTCGTCAGGAGTCCCCAGCAGGTAGACTCACCCCCTTGTGACTTCCTCCCCTCCCTAGTCAAGACCTTACAAGCAGCTTATAACGAGGGAGTCTTCGTCCAATGCCAGCATCGAATATCTTCAAGCAGGATTTACGTTCTGTTCCCTCTAGGATTTGCCAAAGCATGGGAAAGGACTTACCTCTGTCAATCCCCCTCATTAAGGTGTTTTATCCCAGGTGTGTGTGTGTGTGTGTGTGTGTGTGTGTGTGTGTGTGTGTGTGTGTTCACTTTAGCCTTAAAATATATTTCTAATTTTCCCGTTTAAAAAAAAAATAATCTTCATTCAGAATCTTTCATATTTCATTCTTGTTATTTCCTTTTTGTATTTTCCTGTCATCCCAGAGAAGATTTACCGAGTTTGTCATATTTTCCATTTAATTTTCCTCCTCTTGAAATACTTACAAAGTCTTTCCTATTTTCCCTTTCATATTTCCCTCCCATTGAGTGAAGTATCAACCCTGAACATCATTAAGTCGTACTAACACTAACCATCACCACGACCCCACCATCACGACCCCACCATGACGACCCCACCACACCAGGACGACCCCACCATCACGACCCCACCATCACGACCCCACCATCACGACCCCACCATCACGACCACCACCCCCACCCTCATCATTATTAATACCACCATTGTCTCTTTGAGTGCCCAACCAATAAGAGAAGTATTTTTTTCACTACAAACTATTATTGTCGAAAAAATTGGGTCACATTATCAACAAAAACAACAAAGATAGGCTTTTGTTTTCCGGATTTATTTTAGTCGATTAATTTAGTATAAACAGTGACGTAAGTTCTGAATTGTCATCATTAAAATATGAAGGTAAGGAACTCATTTAGATACGAGGTTGATGTTGTTGATGTATTTACGGTGTTTCAATGATCAAGAGAAGGGAGGTGGGGAGGGTGTGGGGGGGGGTGGAAGAGGAGAGGGGAAGGGAGGGGAATGGAGGGGGGGGGAGGTCTTTAAAGCGCTAAGGAGTTAAATAAGTCTTAACTATATACCAGACAACTGGATGGGTTTCTCTAGCCAAGGTCTTTAAGCCTAGTTCATTAAGTCTTATATCTTAAACTATACAAAGACTCTTAAAGACTTGTGGAAGTGGGTATTAAGACTTGACTACCTGTCTAAAAAAAATAACGTTATTTAGCTATGAGTATTTACTTCAATGCAAAATAACCTAACCTAACCTAACCTAACCTAACCTAACCTAACCTAACCTAACCTAACCTAACCTTGTAAAAATAAATTCAAATGAAACAAACAAACATTGAAAACAGTTATTTTTCTGCCTCCGCATTTTGCACCTGAGAGCTGGAGATATGAGTGTGCGTGCGTCTGTGTGTGTGTGTGTGTGTGTGTGTGTACGTGCGTGCGTGTGTTATGTCGGTTCTTTCCTGTTTCCTATACACTTGAAACTGCATTACTCTCTCCTGCCATTTCCTCTTCCTGTTCTTACATTTTCTGTTGTTCCCCTTAATCCTCCCAACGGAAGAGAGGAAGAGGTGTAGATACGAGAGAGAGAGAGAGAGAGAGAGAGAGAGAGAGAGAGAGAGAGAGAGATGAAACAATCAAACAGACAAACAAAAACACACACACAGACAATAACCATGAAGGTACAAACACACACAAACAAAAATAAGTATCCACAAACAAACAAACAAAAATGAAAACTAACAAAAACATACCAACATCAAATAATTTACCTTACATCCCAACGAAGAATAATTACAAATAAAACACACAATTACAAAACTAAACAAAACAAACAAACAAAAATTCCTTATATTATTATTTACATACATAAACACACTGAATAACTTCATTTAACTAATTCACTACAAACACATTTTTTTTTTGTTAACCATCCCAGTGTTTTCTTTTACACAGGGTGGAGACCATTGTAGACTATGATGCTTAGGTACAATGATAAATTAAATTATATTCATTATATTTTAACCAACGTGAGGTAACAAACAAGTAAGTTACCTCTGTTTTTGTTTTTCCCCAGGTTGGATATCTCGTCTACCTGTTATCACCTGTGTTAATTACGATTCATTGTCAAGGGGTAAAGAAAGAAAGAAAGAATGAATGAAAGAAAGAAAGAAAGAAAGAAAGAAAGAAAGATGAGACGATACAAATTTATGGACTTTCACTTATTTTCACATTTTTACTCTTTCGTGTTGTGAGTTGAGGTGGAAAACGAATAGATGGAAACAGGAAGGAAGGGAATGATGGAAGAGGAAGAGGCCAGTTGAGGAAGATAGGAATGAGAGAATGTAAAGAAAGACGATAAAGGAGGAGGAGAGGAGGAGGTAGAAGAGGAAGAGGAGGAGAAGGAAAAAAAGGCGATAAAAGTATATGAGAAAAAAGTAGATAAAAATAGATAATAAGATGGTAAGGTGAGGAGAGGAAACAGAGAGAACGGAGAAAGAATGATAGAAAAGATACAGGAAGAAAAATACATTATGACAGGAGGAAGAAAGGAAATGAAGGAGGAAATAGGAGAGGAAGTTAAGAAGAATGAATAGGGTATTAAGATGAGAGGGAAACAGGAAGGGGAAAAAGAGAACAGGGGAACGGAAACAGAAGGAAAGGCTAAGAGGGAAGGGAAGGAAATAGAGAAAAGGAAGAAGAAAGGGGAGAAGAGAGGTAAAGGTGGATAGTGAAGTATAGGAGAAGGTCATGTAATTAGGTGGATCATACAGGTGTATTTCGACAGGTAAGGTAATTAATACGTGACTAACAGGTACCAAACACCTGTCACCCACCCACCACCCACCCTCCACCCACCACTTACCATGGAATTTCAAGAAGAGATTATCACTAGATAGAGTTAAAGCTTCAGGGAACGAGAGAGAGGCGCTGGTACTAACAAGGCTAACTACCACTTGGCCCCCTCTGACCTTAACAACCTAATACTCTTTTAATTGTTCATCTCCAACAAGTGAGGAGTCGATGTGAGTAACTCTTGTGTTGTGAGGGGATGAAGGGCAAGAGTTTATTTGTTTGTATGTTTG